TCCTGAAGGGAAGGGGCAAGCTAAGAGGCAAGGAATAAGGCACAACGGCCATGAGTCTCCACCCATCTGAATATTGAGCATTGTCCCCTTCATAAGAAACGGAGTTCGAAGGCACGCTCGCCTTCAAAAATATGACTGATGCTGCTCAAATACTCATGACAAGATAGCAAGTTGCACAGAAAGAAAAAAGCACTTGAAACCAGCTCGAGTTGCGTCATATAGAACCGCGTTTGTTCGTGCGTAAGGCGAAGAATGGGGGTGGTCGGACCAATTCTCACATGTTGGTTTCACTTCTTTCTCCATATCCTCACTAATAAAAACCATTATAAATGGAAAGAGGTAGTAGCGGAATAGCTAAACCATCAGGTATTAGGTAAAAGTGGAAGTTGGGCGTAGTTGTGGTAAGTTGGTGAAGCGGCGGCTCCGTCGGGAGCGGTCGGTGCTTTCCTCTCGCATATTTTGCGAAAGTAGTCCATTTCTATGCTTATGAACAGGGCTTCCATGTCCAAAGGATGTGCCTGAACATCAAATGAAAGCGGGCGTGCCTCTAAGTGTGTATTCATCTAATCCTCAATAACTTTTTAATCCTAGTGCATCTGACTCAATACATCGGTGGAAGCGTGCACGTGCTGTGTGCAGTGATGAAACGCGGTTGAAGACTAGAGTCTAGGAGTATCTTTTGAAACTAGACGAGGCTTTTTCAAGGTATCTAGTCCTATGTAATTGAGTTATCCTTTCATGACTCACTGGGTGACTGATACTAGTCAACGAGTCTTGAAAAGATATCTCTCACAATTATATAAAGACTGAGTGAAGTCTCATCTAGTTCCGAAAGATATTCCCAGACTCGTAGTGTCTTATCTCGAAACGTCTAAAACAATTGTGTAGACGCTAGAAAGTGTTCCAGATATGGTTTCGTACCTAATGGTAACCGGATATATTACCTGAATCGTTCTCAACCTCCTCTACTCACTTGGTGTGTCCACGCTTACTTCATGGCCACGAATGACGTCGCCTTTCTGGAGAAGGTTATGCCAACTTTACAGAAAGAGGTAAGGCAGTAGCTTCACAAGTGAACGCGTTCACCATGGAATAGTAATAGGTGCGAGCTTGCCGCTCGCGAACCCCGAAGTATTGCCTTCAGTACAGCCCATCAGTGCAGCTCATCAGTGTATCATATTTATTAGCTCAATACGATCAGATGGAATCGGGATTCGTCGCGGCCGAAGTAGACGACAGAGCGATGATGACGGAGTTGAGTTGACAGCGCAAGAACGGCGAGCCAGAGGACGTGCGGAGCAGCCAGCTCGTCACCGCATCATGGCGCGGTTTGGCATCCTCTTCAATCTCTTCGTTGGCGTTCAGCGCGAACCTTAAGTGTTGTCGGTGAGATGAGTCATGCGCATCGCACTCTGACCTTCTCCTCTCTCTCTCTCTCTCTCTCTCTCGCTAGCTTCACGCAAACCGTCGGCAACCAGAAGGAGACCCGAAGTGAAGGAGCCTATAAAGTAGAGGCGCTTCCCAATGAGTGAGTGACACACTCTCCTTATCAGAATGCACAGAGGGTATTGCTAGTGTTAGAAACAATCACGCTCCGTGTACAAACTCACCGTGCGCGTATCGCCCGGCCGGTCTTGACGCTTGCGCCGCCCCACTCTTCAACAGAAGACCCTTTTATGCCCCATTATGTGGAAGGAGGAGGAAAAAAGAGTTTGAAGCAAACAGGGGAACGCTCATAGGTGATAGTGGGTTAACGGTGAGCCAGAGAAACAGAAAATCGAGAAGCAGAGCGTAGTTTTCATTCCAACAGCGGAACTGGCAGAATGATTCCTTTTTGAGCTGGGACGGCCCTTATAGCTTTTACCAGTCCGGCTGACGCCGAGCTCTCCTCCTTATCTTTAGCTGGCTTAGCTTCGCCAGGCGCACTTTTAATGAAATAATCAAACATAATGGGAACTATATTTGTTCTTTCACCTAGCTACTCATAATGCGCTGTTTTGATCGAATCGTAATAGATGAAGCAACCCACGCGCAAGCTCACGTCTAGCTGCCACGCGAGCAGCTGGAGCAATGGCTCGGAGCCTCTTAGGACTAACCATCGTCGTCTTAGTCTTAATCTTTATGAGGTTTAACACATATCAAAACAACATCATCAGCTTTGTTACTTCTATTCTTGGATAGCTCGCAGTTTACTGCTACGCGGCGTATCCTCCTCTCTTGCTGCGCCCTCCCCTCGAGCCTGTCGCCTCCGCCCTCTCACCCGTTCCCTCACCCTCTGATTCCTTCACTTGCACCATGCTCAGTCCGCTGAGCACGTACAGGCGAGAATTTGAAGCAAAGGAAGCGTATCAACCTCTCGCTGCCCCCTCGCAATCCACCCCGCTGCTCCTTCGCTAGCGCGACGCAAGACTCCACTGTCCAGCGCCATCAGCTCGTGCAATGCGCATTCTGGCTGTTTAGCGACCAATGGTTTCGTCTATACTAATGGAAGCTGTCTATATCACGAATCAACAATACACTTGGATCGACTTACATCCGCCACAATCGTTCAGCGCAGTCTTATCTACGGTCGTCTTCTCTTCCGCTTAAACACTCGCGAAGCCCCTGTAGCTGTCGTTTATACTTTTGCCGTGCAGCGTACGTCGATAGTCGCCTCTTAACCGCAGCCCTTCGTAGCGAGTAGCGCTTCCAGCGTACGCCAGCGGCAGTGCCGAAGAGAGGATGCATATCGATCTAGCTTCACCAGCGTCACCAGCGGCACGCTAGCGTACGCCAGCGTTTCTCCAGCGTCTTCTTCACCACGTCCCCGTTCATCTTTTGCTTAGCCGTTCTTGCAATCAGTTCCTTATTTTAACAGCCACACCGGCGCCACTTACGAGCACTTCATCCGTCCGGCAGGCCAGAGACGCAGAAGCGATGTGCATTGTAGAGACTATGGGGCCGTCGAAGACGCAGAAGCGATGTGCATTGTAGAGACTATGGGGCCGTCGAAGACGCAGAAGCGATGTGCATTGTAGAGACTAAGGGGCCGTCGAAGACGCAGAAGCGATTTCATGAGAGACTAAGGCCGCTGTGAGATAGCGCAATCGGATTGGTGCTTTGTACCTCCAGCTCGTCCCTAGTCGCCTACTCCCTGCCGCTGCAAACGCTAGCAAAACGCTGGTGAAACGCTGGAGAAACGCTGGCGTACGCTAGCGTGCCGCTAGCGTACGCCTAGCGTGCCGCTGGTGACGCTGGTGAAGCTAGATCGATATGCATCCTCTCTTCGGCACTGCCGCTGGCGTACGCTGGAAGCGCTACGCTACGCTGCGCTACGCTACGCTGCCGCAAAGTATAAACGCAGCCTGAGCATTTTGCGGATGGACAGACATACAAACATACTTACATACATATACATACCGACACATAGAGGTAGGCTTTACTTAGGAGTAGAAGGATATGGTCACAAACAACCCTTGGCAATTTGCCAAACCTCAGCTTGAACTTTCGTGTAAAAGCTGCTTGAAAAGATACTTAATGAAAGAAAATGGAAGCAAAGATAACTGCTGCTTCAGTCGGTTCCGGCAATCACGGAAAGTATTCGCCGTTCTGCCTCTGAGTAATACTCGTGGGTCGACTCTATCTGATCCCTTCCCCCCATAACTCAACATTCCCCCATTGATCGTTCATTCAACCTTCCATCTTCTACTTATTCCCTCCTTCACTAATCCCTCGGTTAGCTGATTGCGAGACAGGCCGGAGGACGCGGGCCACCGCCTTTCGCTCGCCCTGCCACCGCGGCGCCGTAAGAAACGCGGGGAGCATACCGCCATGGCGTGATTTTTTACCTCCTCCTGAAGAATCTTACCGTTGAGCCAGACCCTGTAATCATTTTTCATCGGAGCTGGAGTTCCCCGGGTTTCGTTCTCTTGCCTTTTCCACTCTAACCTTCGAACTCCTCCCACTCTACGGTACCCGAATTTTATCGCATCTTCTAATACGGCAAAGTGGAGTTAAGCGCCAATAAAAGGTATAATGCCTACAAGTCTCCGCCCATCAGTCATCGCATGTGTCTTTAACGGGTGAAGTTGTGAGTCCGACTCCATCCCTACCTAATTAAATTTCAACCTGAGCCCACATATCCTATCTATGCACTTTGCAAACATTATAATAATTACCCTACATCAGTTAACAAAGGACCTGATTGAAGACCATGCTTCTTTTTTTCCAGACCGCGTTGTTTCCGAACCCAAATAGAAATCAGTTGTTTATGGATGGTGGCCGGGTTAACCTTTACCGCCTACCAGTTGTATCGTGCCACCACGACCAGAAATTATCGTTTGCTGATCTTTGAAAGCTGCAGTCTTATCTACGAAAGGCTTATCAATCCTTGAATAAAGTCATGGAAGTAGCTGTTTGATGTGATGTTGTTACAGAGCAACAAGCAAAAACTTTGCGGGCGATATTGCGGCTGCAGCAGAAAGTGGAAGAGACTTCTCAAGTCGGTGGTTTAGTCAAACAGGACCTATGGCTGGGAAGTTCGAAGGCACAAGGTGAGATAATTTTGGAGTAGAGTATTGATAGACATGAAAACAAGAGAACTACTTGACTCGCTTAGTGTTCCTTAAACGACAAGGTATCCCATACATAGTTCTGTTTCTAGAAAGACCCATTGACCCACCTCGCCCCTTCTATATACACAGGGAGAGGAAGTCCATTTCTATGAAGCTTGTTTGGGTACAGGAAAATGATACTCTTCTGTCCGTGACTTCCTCCTCCCCCACCACCCACGGAAGGTGTCAGAATCTGACAGGTCTCTCGAAATTTTATAGAAAATCGAGGCGTTTAGAAATAGAAGCCACTTCAAAGCCGTGACTTGGAAAGACAATAGGGACTGTGAAAAAGGAGATTTTTGAGTGAATGTAACGATTACTTTTCCTCACGTATTTCTGTGTCGTAGCCCCTTTTTGTGAATGCTACTTGTTTAAGGACGAGTGAAATAATACCCGTGGATCTCAATGCAATTATTTGTGGAAATTTTCTAATGATGCGCGATCTTTACGATGCATTAGGCGATATTGATGGCTCAAAAAGCTGTGCTCAAGAGGCTGATTTGATGAAACAGACAATACATCAGGTTGGTGGACGTTTCAGATTGAATTCGTTTCTTATTTTATAATCGTTTCTTATTTACGTAACATAGCATTACGACGTATTGATTTTTTAACTCCCTTCTTGCGTTGGAAACTGCTTTATCCTTGCGGTAGAATGGGCGCTACTCACTTTGGAGGGCCAAGTCAAATGCTTATCAAAGTTGAGTTAGATAAGTTTATGTGCTCGCGTACTACAGAGTTCGTGCCTCAAAAGCGCAATGCACGCATTAGTTCAAACACAGATGGTTCTTGCGAAAGCACCGCCCGATTCAAGAAACCCACCCGCCGTTCGGGTGTGTCTCCTCGATTTGCCGTCTGCCAAGCAAGTGATAACCTAACTCACGTTCTCTCGTCTGCTGCTCTGTAGCCAAATTATGGCTTTTACAGTGAAATGGGAAGCGCCGCCCATCTTGAGTGCACCCCACCCATTCCAGATGTGTCTCCTCCATTTGGTCTGTCAGCCCTTTGCTAGCTTTACTGCAGTGTTCCCCAATCTCGGCACTGCTCTGGGACCGAATTGTGATTTTTTTCAGTGACATCGCTAACTTTCGCGCACGCCCCCAACGCGGCGCGGATCTTAGGCGTCACGGTGCTTCATGCTTGTCCCATGCCGTACTCATCCCCACCACAACCCGACCCCTCCAAGTTATTCTTCAGGTCGAACCGAATTTCGGACAAACAACAAACAGCAAACAAACAAACAGAACGTAGCAAATTCTTAATTTATATAAGTGGTGATTAGCCGTGAGCGCTGCTGGTTCCACCCTCTGAATGCATCAATAAAAGTCACGGTGAAATTTCTTAGAGATGACGGATTCTCGGCAAGAGTCATAAGTCAGTAGTCGCTTCAGTAGGAAAATGGCTCGGTCGCTCCTACTAGGGAATTGCGTTCGTACCAGCAGAGAGCAGATGCCCCTAACAATCGAACAATCACATACCCCACTCCTCCCCTCCCCCCCCCCCCCACACATCTTTGACCAATTACCACGCTCACCCATTATGGCCACCTACCATCACCTTCCAGTATGCTCTGTAGAACGGATTGGCAGCCATGCAAGTTGACACTTACCATTATTAAAAAGCGCCCGTAAAGAAGCTGGAGGGTGATTATAGCGATGACTGTATGCGCCTCCGCCCTCCATCTCCAAAGCAGCAATCGCGTCGATATCAAAGTTCGGCAGCGAACGTGCGCAGCTGAAGTAAAGAACAATGGTGCAGCAGGTGGTATAGATTAATGTTATTTGTCCGTGCGCACTGCTACTTGTCTTACTTGCCTTTACCTATGGGTGGGAAACACAAACGCGCGCAACTTTCACTATCCTTAAGCTTCATCTCGTGTCAGGACAAAGTGTCACCCACTTCTACAAACAGCCATCCCGTTCCCCTGCCAGGTGAGGTGTCAAATAGCGGAGGTGAATGTACATCTGTCGATAAAAAGTGACTTTTCTGACATGCCTTTGACATTAGCACAACTCTCCCGAAATGTACCGAAGAACATTTTAAGTGAAAACTGGGCAACCACTGTGGAGCAAGATTAGTGATCGTGCAGTAAGGTGAACCGGATACTCTGTGATCACGAGTGGGATGCGGGCGTAGCACTGAAGCTACGTCATCAGAAAATAGCAGGGTTGCGTTTTTGGTGGGATATCACCGTTGCAGGACACTAATGATATCCCCGTCGAACCCGGGAAAGGATGTCAGTTGTAGCAGACGAATAACCCACGGAACACGCATCCTATGACATGTCCTTATGGACATGAAACCAACCCACGGTGCCGGCGATCATGGAGTTATCACAGATACTTCTTGAATTCCTTGTATGGGACCAAAGAATGTAGAATGTACACCGTTAATATTACATCAGCGCATGAATTGACGGAAAGGGATGTCACTTGAACACCAGCTATTTTTTTCGCTGGAATGCTTCTTAAGAGACATTCATTGTAGGTTTTATGGAATGAGTCAGCAGGATGTTGGTTCGATTATGACACAGCCAATAATCAACATATTCGCTTGTTCAGTGACACGAATTTCTTCCCCTCTACACGAATACCAATCCAGGTAAAGGATAAAGCTCAATTGAGGCACTTATTATTGTCTATCTGCGCCTATGAAAAAGATCACATTTTGGAGGGCGTATAAGTGATGTGATCGATAAAAAACCCGCTCTCCGAAATTCATAAATAACTTCCCCAAGCCGCTGTGACAGAAGGCTGAAAAAATCGCTGTAAATAATATGGAAAAATTAGCTTTATTGGCAGGGGTGCTCCCAAACCTATTGTCACTATTTGCGAAAATGGGGCACTGCAAGTTCCTGGTGCGGTGCCACCTCCCCTTAGCTACAGTCGTTGGTAAAAATCTTGTCCCCTAAGAGCATGGCGAACTATATGTTTCCAACACCCACAGTATGACCTCTTTGAGGTCAGCAGTGGGATTTCCCAAATGCATTCGCACCAACACAGTGGATCCTCATCGAAGGCCTCAGGATATCTGGTCAAGAAGAGATTGCTCTACAATTGACTGAAAAGTGGGTAAGGAAGAACTTCAACATGTGGCGAGCCAGTGGTGGTACGATGTATGAAAAGGTAGGTGGAATAGTCAAGCGTAACTCCATAACAACCATCTTTTATCCGCCATTAACCTATTACTACTTGTAGAAAAGGCGGCCGTGAGCAGGCTCGTTACGCTCCTCTTGAGTCTGCCCCGACTGTCTGCTACGATATCAACTAATCATCGCTCATATAAGGGGAACCGTCCGAGAAGAATCAGTGTAATGAATGGGATGGCCGAGTTCGTCCCGACACGTAGCTTATCCTCTTGTACTTTTACAAGTGCTTGCGGTCGGGGGGATTTCCCTCATCAACATTTATCGGTTGTTATCACTTCTGTCACCCACTAAGAGTAGTACAGTAATGTTGCCGCTCCCCATCCCCCATCCCCCGCCTCCTTCCCCTTTTGCATCACAGAACCAGCTCTGTTGCTTTCCAGAGAAACAACTAGACAGACAGGTTTAGTGAATTACAAATAGTATTGATATATTAATGGGCGAAAGTGCTGTAGAGGCGCTCCACGAGCACGATTCGGAGACCAGAGTGCAGGGTACAGCATCGTTGTGTGAAACAATGGGGGGGAAGGGGGGAAGTGTACTTCTTCTCTGGGTAGGCTGGGTAGGAGGGTCGTATTTGGTCGTTGGGAGAGAGGGGGTCGTATGTGCCTTTGAGAGAAATTTGTCGCGTTGGTTTTCCGGTTGTTGACTTTTTGCGTGATTTTTCCTGTTTCATGTGCACTATGTACCCCCGCCCTCCCTCCACCCCCTCTCCGCCGCGCTCGACGGAAAATTTTGGTGAAAAAAGTGGAAAATGGAGGGAACTTTGTAGGTGTAGGTATTGAGGAGGGGGGGGGTTGTACCGAGACCTCTTGAGGGACGCGTTCAGCACTTCGCGACGGCAGCGCTTCGGTCGCGCGTTCGACGTGATCGATGAAGTCGAAAGCGTGCGCATCGATCGTGCAATCGCGCGACCCGAGCGCTGCACTTGCAAAGTCTGAACGCTGCCTGAGAGGGGAAGGGGTCGCACTGACCTTGCTCGGAGAGCGGGTCGCAATAACACCACTCGAGCTTACAAACAGGCACGACGCTGAACCGATGGCCCAGCGTGACGGTAAGAGTACACTTGCAACGCGAGCAACTAGTTGCCAAATGCGTGGAGGTATTTCCCACATCACCTAACGGTGGGAGTGTCTTCAAGCAAATTTTAATGATAATAAGGATGATAATAACGATGTACTTTTACTTGTATTGTGACATTTTGTAGGAACTCCTCTGGGGAAGGAGAACTTCCGGGGACTGTCCGGGAAGATAAAAGTACTGACACTGCACCTACACATAGATGACTCGCAGAATATCGTAACGGCCAAGTAGGCCCTATTGCCTCAAGAGAAAGGGAGTGTTGTGCAGGACGGGTCTCATAGAGAGATCCGTCATGGCTGCTTGCACCTGCTTCAATGTACTAAGCTGTTAAATCTTGAATGAAGACCTTAATTTCAGTACAACGTGGTGTCGGCTTGTTACAAAATAGTCGGTGGTGGTGGAGAGTATGAAATGCAAGAAGGATTTGGTTGGAGTAATGGAGTAATGCTCGACTTACTCAAAACATATGGCGAAGAACTACACTGGACCCCGGCAGATGAGTGCAGATATAGCTGTATATGCCTCTGGTAACCCAATGGTAACTCGTCTCGACTAGTTCGATGTATAGGTTTTAGTTAGGCATAGTTAATAGTGCCAAAAACCAATTATTCGCAAGCACTCACAAGAGCTTGCCGGAGTGCTTACACAGTCAAGTCAAATTGTTGTTTTCTTGTTCGAATTCTAAGCTTAATTAATCGTCTAACTCTTAAAAACAGTAGAGAACTCATACAAAACTTTGCCTCTAATTGTTGTTGTTGTTTGTTCAAAGTTATTGTTCATTTTTCTTCGATCGATCGACGCTCAATTCCTAACTCTCATCGGACTTATGTCAACCACTCGTATATCCGAAAAGGAGTTCAACCTTTGTGATGTTAAGTGCTCGATTTCATTTCCATTTCTCCACGTGTTGATGATTGCTACTGTTCGCAATACTTTAATGGCTAATGAGTAAGCGAGTGTAATTTTTGTTCCGCATACAAGGTCCATATCACTGGAGGGGGCGCTTCCACAAACTTAGTTGTGAGCATGGCGATGGCAGCGTTTCCATAGACGCTGTGACGACGTTTCTATGGACGTTTCTATGGGCAGGGGTGTTTCAAATTGTCTTCTTTCGGCTGCGGTTGCCGAGCACCTTTTGTGAACCATCGAAGATCCTCCGTCGCTATGCCCGTAGAGACGGCATTGGTGATGTAGGCTGAACGACCTTGTATCCGGGAATATATGGTGGGTAAGGTGAGCCTGTTTCCGGAGGCAGGACATGTACAAATCGCTCTTTGAAAAAGGCGTGTGGGAATTGTAACAATCTGGAGCGATTGCATCGTCGTATTGTCTCACCAATGAAGCGGGCTCAGCGGTGACGAGTCTCCACCCATTCCCTCATTCGTGCTTTTCTCGCTTGACATCCCTTAATAGCACATTACTTTGAGATTAATTAAACTTTATTTCTAGCCTAGCTATTTTTAGTATGACGACTGCAGTTTTACGCCGCAGTTTGCGCTCTAAAATTTATAATCTCAATGGGAAGCGCTTCCTCCGTTAGTGGGTTATGCGGGTTCGAGCCCGCCCGGGGTCTGGCTTTTGCCCATGACTCAGCAGATCCCAGCTATGATTTGGCCGGTGTACCTTCTGGATCCTCCACGTTATATTAATAGCAACTTAAACCTATGTACAATCAACCTGCATTAGCTGCTTAGACGTACCAGCATTCTTTCAATACCTTGACGATAGCCCCCGCACACATCTTTGTTAATAATTTTTAAAATGTGTAGAATAGTGTTGCAGTCAATTTCAGTCGCCACGCTTGTGTACCTATCATGTGTATCCTTTGTACAGTAAAAAGAAAGAGCTTGTTATGAGGTATATTAAAAGCATGTTGTATTTGACCATTGTGACTGCTTGATTCCTCATAAACAGTACGGTTTTAAGTCGATAGGAAATTAATAAATGTATATAAAACCAGTTTGGCTGACGCGCACTACTGCGCGAATTGTTAAACCTATGGTACTGAACAATGGCAGAATTTTGTGGTGCCCCTAAAACTTCGCCTTATTCCCATGCTTCAAAACACGGCCCATTTCATCATAATTCTCCTCTTTAATGAACATTTGCCAACGTATGGTGCTTATCACAACACTCACCATTCGTTGGAAATGGGACAGCTTAGCGGTTGAAAGAGTTTCAATGGTAACAATATCGAAATCATAGTGAAATGTTCTTACATCCTAATAGTGAGCAGCTTTCACATATCGGTCTATTGGCGACTCTTATCATTCCTCACTGGCAAACAACTTTAGGCTTTTACTTCTGGGTGGTACTCGAGAGTTTAGCGGTCGGATCAATTCCGATTACATCCTAAGGGATAGGAACATCTCGGCTCACTAAGGTTTGGCCCATTAATTCTTGGGTCACGGTGGTCAAGTTCAGTCGCAGGCATAGTGAAGATGCAGCTCCCCGTTGTTGCTCCGACTCTTGCAATGAAATTTTTTTCCTGAAGCGGGCCCCCTATGGTACTTTATCGGCTGTTATCAGGTCCTGCTACCCACCAATAATGTTCCTATCCTGCCCCATATATTACTTCTTGAAAACAACGTTCTACCGTCGCTGTGACGCGCACTATGGTGTTAGTGACCATTCCCTTTCTAAGGCTCCTTATGGTATCTTATCGGCTGTTATCACTTCCTGCCACCCACCAAAATGTCCCCATCCTGCCCTCTATCTTACTTCTTGGAACCAACGTTCTACCGCTGCTGTGACGCGCGCTATGATGTTGGTGAACTTCCCCTTCTAAGGCTCCTTATGGTATCTTATCAGCTGTTATCACTGCCTGCCACCCACCAATAATGTTCCCATCCTGCCCCCTATCTTACTACTTGGACCAACGTCTCGTCGTTGCTGTAGCCGCGCTATGAATTTGGTGACCCTCCCCTTCTAAGACCCCCTGTGTATCTTATCAGCTCTTATCAGTTCCTGCCACCTACCAATAGTGTTCCTGCCCGACCCCCTACATCACTTATCAGTTTGAGCGCTCTATCGCTCTTTTGAAGGAAGTTATGAATTTCCGGTCAAACACACATACAGACACACAAACATACACACACACACACACCAACAGACAAACTTAGCGGATTATATATAGTAGGATTTTGGATATAATTGCGACAGAAGTGCCAAAGTACACCTACATCATTTTGCTCCAAGGGCAAGGCTCTCAGGGGGACGCTGTGAACTGAAGACGATGGGCGATGTTGTTAGTATGTGTTAAAATGTAGTTTTATGAGGCAGCACGAAAAAAGCTGCACAGGTGTACTATTGGGTCTAGCGACAACTTGCAATTGTTCGTGTGGTATACTGTGGTCAGTGTGACCTCACACATTTCAACTTTCACAAATGGTAACTGGCTCATTCTCTCCTGGGTCCTTGCCCCCTCGAAAAGCCCATATCCTGGCTCGCCATATGTTTCATGCACATTTCGATGCTCTCACATCTGATCGTAAAGAAAGGTTCCTCGGAAAATTCCAATATCCAGTGGGCACTATTTACCCTATACTCCCCAATCATCCGAAAACAGGCCGGCGCCCGCGCCACAGGCGCCGGCGCCAAAATACCCTAAATCACCAAATTCGCTGAAAACTTGTTCTCAGGGGTAGTCTGACCTCCTGAACACGAATATCACATCCGCTCGAAATACCCCAGATCACGGCGCGTGTGGCGCGGGCGCCAAGAGGTTTCGGGCTAAGCGAATGTCATATTCGTATTCAGGAGGTCAAAATACCCCAGGAGACAACATTTGAGCCAAATCTGTCCACGGAGAAAAAGTCGGTCAGAAACTGGCTCAATTCTGGATGGTTGGGGCAGTAAAGGGTAAATGGTGCCATCCAGTGTTCCAATTTTCTAAATATGGTTCTAAAAACGTGAAGGTTTTCCCCCCAAATTCACCTACCTGAATCACCACCAAATCTAGGAATCATTTAACAAACATCGATTTTTGAACTAATTCTTTTTCATTTTTTGTAGGTCAACGATGTTGGTGGATCGATCGTCGTTCACGCTTTCGGTGCCTATTTCGGTCTTGCATGTTCCAGGGCGTTCGCCAGTGACAAGCAAAGAGATCACGATAATGAGGGCTCTGTCTATCATTCGGACATCTATGCCATGATCGGTGAGTTGTTTCAGACCACTCGTATCTAGGGCAAGATACAGTTGTACAAGGATAAGACAGCTGAGAGCTGAATCCGGTGGCCGTCTGATGCTAGCCGATTAGACTTAAAGGCAGTTGGCACGATGATTTAGTGCTCGGCCTAAAATGCTAGTAGGGCGCTATATAGTGGGGAAATGGCGAAAGAACGGAGTGAAACGGTCAAAATCCTGCGAAGAAAGAGCCTCCGTTCTCAATGTTAAAATCAATTTTGGACGAGTTTCCTGTAGGCATCTTGCCAATAACCGCTACCGAAGGTACGGCTGCATATGTGTACTCATATATCCATGCAGCACCGCAGCCGCTTCATACCAATCCCTTCGCTTCATATTTTAAATAGCAAATGAAGCAAAACGAGCAGGGTCGTCCATTTGTGGGCGGGCGGGCGTGGTGGGCGTTTGGGTCGGTATGTTGTGGCTTGATAGGGCCCTTATAAGGGCACCTCCCTTTGGAAAAGGCATTATGCAGCGCCTGCTCAGGGTCGCGGAATTCCGTCCTGCCAGGCGTATTAATCCTACTCGTCTTGGAGGATTTATCGTGCCAACTGCCTTTAACTAGCTCACCAGCCAAGATATCCTATGGAGAGAATTTGCTTCCCAGGATCACACTCTACAAAAATGAGATGGGTTAAAAGTCAAACGCATTCCTTATCGGTGCAATCTTCCTCCTTTCTGTATTAGAAGGAGGTATATACAAATCAGCAAGGCCACTTTTTGTGATTCTCCGCCCATCTGCTTATCACGGAATGAGTCTTAGAGTCAAAAGACAGACATTAGCTGTCAAGCTAATTTTTTCAGGAGCCATCTTCCTGTGGGTGTTCTGGCCATCGTTCAACGCCGCGGTTGCCGAGCCGGCAGATGCTCGTCAACGAGCTGTCTGCAACACGGTTCTTTCGCTAGTTGCCTGCACCATCACCACGTTCCTCGTCTCCCAGGCCACGGATCATCACGTAAGGGAACCGAGTGAACAATTTCAATCATCTAATAAAAGTTGTTATTTTCAGAAGAAATTCGATATGGTCCACATCGCGAACTCCACTCTTGCCGGTGGAGTGGCCATCGGAACAACCGCAAATGTCGTGCTCCACCCTCTCCACGCGCTCATTGTTGGTGTCATCGCTGGATTGATTTCTGTGATCGGATTCAGATACATTACGGTAAGGAGAATGTACTTGCAGAACCGAAGTCAAAAACAACCGGGCAATGAGCGCGACTCCGGATCGTCCTTCCACCTAGATGGACAAGGCCTGATTAAATTACAAGAAAGGACATCCATATCAATGGCTACTAAAATCAGCGAAAAACTAGCGCAGGTTGGCTAGGGAGGCGCATTTCGCATTTCGCCACTACCCATTGTCGAATAGAGCCATCAAGTAGGGAACTCTGAAGTCTTGTGAGCTATAAAGTGATATGAACGTTTCCAATTTTATAGCTATAAAGTGGTGTGACGCTTCCAATTTTACATCTTCTGGGCACAGTTCGGCGACGGGGGGGGGCACATTCTGCACTTTTGATACTTCTCATCAACTTGTGGACCCATCTAGACAGCCTCCTCTCGTTTTACCATAATGGCTTGACAAGCTTGCCCCAGCTCCACAGAAGTTGGCAGGTTTCACCAGAGTGAGACTTGTAAACCGGAACTAGTAGAGCAAGGAAAGCGCAAAATGCCCCCCCCTTCCTTCGCCGAGCTGCACCGACTTTCGCAGCCCTGATATCGCCTAAATCATTTACTTTCAGCCTTTCCTGTCGAACAAGCTCGGAGCTCATGACACCTGTGGAGTCAACAATCTGCACGGAATGCCGGGTGTACTAGCTGGTCTCCTTTCAGCGGTCTTTGTCATGGCATACGATCCGGCTGATTACGGCAAGAGGTTTGTTAGAGCTGATTCCATTGACCTGTGGCTGTCGCCCCTCCACGGTGTCCTTTCTAGACAGCGACTCCTATCGTCGCGCTTTGTTTTAATGAATATTAAATTGAAAAAGAACTCAACATTATGAGAGTTATTTCCAGCTTGAACCTTATCTATCCGGCCATGAAGAGCGACACCAATGAATCAGGCATCTCGGCTGCTGCACAGGCCGTCAACCAGCTCGTCGGTCTCGCCTTGGTCCTAGTATGCTCGCTCATTTCTGGACTAATCACTGGTAAGTGCCATGACCGACGATGTTTCCCAAACTCTAATAAAAAATTAAAAAATAACCAACCGATTAATAAATACTATAAAATAAAGCGCTCCAGCCAGTAAATCGTGCTAGCAAATCGTGACCCTGTTCTTCATAGACATTCAAAAACCAATACACGTGAAGAAGGATAATCTTGCTTCACCAGTTCTCAACACTCTACAAACGAGGGACCTTGTGAAAGGTATGGATTTCAGCGCGACCAGAGCAGTCCTTTCCACTCTTTTTCGGCATCTTTACTTGTTCATTATGGCAAGAATTGGTGAGGAAGGCCGCCACGGCTGCACTCTGATCCACGTTCCCTCACACACCCTCTCGTTTCCGACCTGACAGGAAGTGGATTTTGGCCTTCTTCCACTTCGTTTGAGCAGGGTACATCACCGGGATAGGTGGAATCGCGGTGTAAGTACCGTCCAGTCAGATGATCTGGGCCGGCGCTCACGACCTGCAGTCCTGTTCATTGCAGAAGATGGGGCGTGTTAGTGAGGCTGGGTTTGGCGCGCCGCCGGCCCAAATCGTTCATATCAGTTGTTTTCCACCAGTTGTTGGAGGGGTAAGACACACACAACTGGTCAAGCTGGTGGAAAACGATTGATATGAACGATATGGTGCAGTTTTCGAAGAGGAAAAGGGGCTGGCGCCGCGCTAAACCCTTCACCCCTTCACATGCCCCATCATCCGCTGTGAACAAGACTGTATCTATACCCTTGTCCAATTCTCCCCGACATTTTGCCATCGGACGGGTTGCGCTGGGGGTGCGGATACTTCCGGCTGACTACAACATTTGTAGTTTTGCTGCGCCGTCAACAATGGAAAAGCGAAGGAAACCGAAAAAAAACCAGCCGTTCAAAACATTTCTGTGCGCGTCTTTTGCCCCAGGAGGACACAGACAACCCTAGGTGGCAGGCACCTACCCTTTTTATCATCGGCGAAAATGGCACGACTTTTAGGTTCCGGATTTGTCTATGGACTGATTGGGCCTTCTAGGGATATATCTCTGAATGGGTTTCCTCAAGTCAGTGGCTAAATGAGTGTATGACATATAGTTGCACCAATCATCTCGCTGAAAATTCAGGACCGCTTCCTACTAAGTTTTTTTTTGTTTAAATGTTACTGGTTGTCTTAACACTACAAGCATATTGAGCCCTGAGTCTCTCAATTCCTTTCCAGGATTCATCCTGAAACTGAAAGTATTCAACCAAGTACGCCACACGGAAATGTATGCCGACGGTGACTTCTTTGAAACGCCAGCTGATTACGATTTCACGACGAGGGTAAGAATTCTGACTCAGAGCGCGCTTTTTCTCAATTTTCAAGTTTCTACATCCATCAAACTCTTTCAGATCATTTCTCACATCGACCGTGTCGAGATCAACGAATACAGTAAACTTACCCAGAAAGAAGTTTAAACTACAATCCACGTGCAGTCCCTCTAGTATAGACAGATTCGATAGTTCCCTTTTTTTCACATATTTTTCATTCTATCGTTGACTCATTTTTCATAATTTGTCGTGTACAGAGTTTAAATGTTTCTCTGCTTGTACTATTCATTGAACACGAATACCCATAGGTTTGCCTCCCCCAATAGCTACAGAGTTGTTATCACTGAAGGGCAGTCGGGGCGTGGGCTTTGGCGCGACGCCAGCCCCTTCTAATAGGGCACATCATGCCGCTGGGGAAACACCACCCATATTCAAAACTTATCGAAGCCCCACTACCCTTGAAAGTTCTTGCAGTGCGACCCCATTTCCCATCCCCATCGTACTTACCATATCCTTTACTTCTCCTCAACTTTCTGCCACTTTCCCGGAGAAGATCTCCTGTTGGCCTTACATCCAAAAAGTGCCGAGAGAGGGGTGCGGTGGGGCGGATACCGTACAACAGGAAAAACCGAGAAAGGTCGGCAAGGAAGGCATTTGCTTCTCACAAAGACATTCACGACCAGTACGACGCGCGTGCTCTCTT